ACTATTTTTCTTTTCTTCCTTTGTGTTCGTTTAAACAGTCTCAAAGTGTATTACTCAAGAACAGATTAGAACAGATTGACGCAAGGATAATAGAAGTTTTCGCATGTACAAGATATTTTGAATAATATTGTACCTTCTATAATTACGTTAAGCTGCACCACGTGGTTGAGATTGAAATTTGAAAAAACTTCAACTTTGAGCAAATATACATCGATTTGATACTAATCAGCAGATTCGTTATACTGTTTGAAGGTATAGGCGTGCAAATGTATTCAAATTAAAAACAGAAATCCTTGCCAGCTCGATACACCAAATCTTTCCAAACTAATACAAAGTGTATTAAATCTCAGATATAGCAAAATCTTTTCAAAATTGAAGAACGATTACAAAACATTACGTTTTCTTTAAATTTCTCTAAAAACAAAAAAGAAAAAATGAAAGTATTAAAAAATAGGAACTCCCATTAATTTTGCATCAATCCAACGTTAGCAACGCGATGGCCTTCTTAATTTACGGTTAAGACGTGTACGTAGTTCTACTAGTGTTCGAGTTTTTTTTTATCCGTTTTATGCGATACCGCGCGATAAAGGTAGGTAATGAACACGCGAAATTGAGAAAAATATCGCGAGCAACCTAAATGCTTGTCCGCACTGTTCTACGCAATGACCTTTGCCCGTTCACCTGACGGACACAGCCGCACCCAACATTTTCTTTTCATTTCTGTTTGATATTTCTTCCTTCGTGTTCTTCTCTGCATTTAGATCACTCGCCCTCGCGCCATCAACACACACAAACGATATAATACATATAGGCGAGATATACATATACGCAGTATATACTCCCTCGCATGGAAAAAGGGAGGGAGATTGCTATAATATCATCTTTTTTTCTTTTCTCTTTTTAATATATTCGCGCACGTGTAACGTATTTACAAGAAAGGAAAGAAGCTACGAGTACGTGTGTTACGCGCCTATACGTAAATATTATATTATTTACGTATACGTATATATAACTGTGATAGAATTTTGCGATGTAGGTACGCGCAACGCCATGCACGACAGTTATCGTTTGCTTTCGACAACGCGAATCCGTTTTACGAAAAAAAGGGATATCTCCGATCATCTTCTATGTATATAGGATTATATGTATAGAACATGTTTTACTTGTACAATATATTTTAGATATCTCCTATATAATATTATATGTTATATATATATACATAATACGTACACAATACGATATAATATTATATAACTTCGGTATAATAATTTAAATTATAATGCACGCAGAAAACGAGCGCTGCGAAGTAGCAGAATTTTGTCCCGTGAATTCTCGATAGACTACTGTACAAATTTAGCGAAAATAGGGGCAAAATTCGTTGTATAGCCGCAATACGCAACAGATTAAACACAGAATATGCTAATATCGAATATGAAATATACAAATGCAAAGTAATTTATATGTTGCAATATCAAAACTTAATAAAACAAGGATAAAGAATTTAACTGTGTAATAAATTGTGAAACTTATCAAAACAATAACGAAGACAACCCTTGTCAAATTTTACCACCTTTTAGATACTAATCCATTCTAATAGTTAGAAGTTGAACTCACAACACGGTGGAATCGATATTATGAAATATGATACGATATATATTATGATCTATGTTTTGACTTATCGTCGAATGAAAAGTAACTGCTTTTTTAAAATCCTCTGTCACGACCTTTACGACCTCATGATTTAACTAGAAGTATTTCTTCTGCGATATAATTGCAGGTACACCTATAAGAACTATGTAATGCAACGAATATTTTGTTAAAGAGGATATTGAAATATATCGAACAGAAATTCTTGAGAAAGACAAACATGGACAACGATCCTCTCTGTTATAAGTCCTTGCGCAATATATCTGATAAAGGAGGAACAGATGCCGTCTTTATATTCCTAAACATTACCAAGTATAATAATGCACTACCATTATTCTTTATATCTAACTCAAGGGACAATATTCCGACACTTCACCACAACAAACTCTATTGTTGCGACCTTCAGAAAGTTGCAACAACTGCAACATATGTACACATCACCGTGGCAAAGTCTACAATAGTCAACCAATTCTAAAGGACCAAACAAAGAACTTTTCTCAAACGAACTTAAGTGAGAATGCTATCCACGTAAATCACGGCACAACGATTTCTCTCGAGAATCGATCATTCATCACTCAACGATAACCATCGGCAAGCGACACGTTGTTATTTCATCGACCATTACGCTAAGATCGATAATAATAGAGGCCAGCTCATAGAAACGAAATTATCAATGCGAGTATAGGCATGTTCCTAACAAAGCTGCGTGTCACGAAATATGACAGGTTATATATCGGTCGATCCCTTTTAACGCGCAGATTATGAAAATATTACGTTATGAATACTAATATCAGTACTGAAATATTTCATCGTAGAAATATTCGTAGTGTAATCAATTATAATCGATCGTAAT